TGTTAAAACTTTGCTTTCTTGATTTTGTTATATTTTAAATTTTGTTTCTATTGTGTTACAGTAAAAATATAAGCATTAATAGGGCAGAATTATGTTTTATAAGGTAATAATGATTTATAAGGTATTTATGTATGTGAGTTCAAGTACTCAGCTTGGGATTGCTGCCAGAGCGGACAACACACACCGGCATTTGAGGAATATTACCGAACAGCCATGATTTATGACGTATTGTACCCCTCCTTCCAGCGTGCCTTCAGAGTGTAATGGTTAGCACACTCGGCATATACTTTAGAGGTTCAGGTTCAAGTCCTGGCGAGGGCATTGCTTATTTTTCACATTTCCTGCATTTCAAAATATCCTAATATCTCTACAGTGGCACCTGATAAAATGGTGGTGGATTATGATTCTTCATCACCAGAATTTGGCGATTCGGTCCCCTAATCTCCAGTCGTTCTTTAAAAGGGGGAGTATATATAGATAGCACACTCTGCACATATTTGAGAGGTCCCAGTTCGAGTCTCAGCGAGGGCATTGCTAATTTTTCACCATCTCCTTCAGAATAAACTAGTGTCTCTACAATGTTTTTAGCTATTAGTAATTACAATTTTATTATATATAGTAAATATAATCAATTTTTTTGCAGCCAAAATTATTCAAAAAACATCTTCTATTGGGGAATTGGATTTTCTAGAGGTGTATCATATTCAAAAAAGTCTTTCTGTTGTAGTTAACGACTGTAATTCCAATCCATGTTTACCTGGAGCCTTTACGTAAATTATGTTTTAGTTTTCTTCTTTCATGAATAGATGGCGCCAGTAACTTAACTTTTATTCAGCCATTCTTATCTTTTCTTGTCTCATTCATTTACACTATGGCAGCTGAGGTTCTATAGTTAAACCATTGAAACTAGTCTGCAAAATTTACAAATATTGTGTTACAGTAAAAATATAAGCATTCTTGTTTGAATTCTCCAATAATCATTATTTAGCATGTTATTTTAACCTAATTATAGGAGCTCAAAACAGGCTTATTTTTGTTGCTTCTTTTTTTCCATGTGGTTTATTCACTATTTTGGGATTGTATGTGTTTTCGGTAAGTATTTTCCAGTTTTTAATTTTGATTTATGGTTTACACCTTTTATTTTTTCTTGTTTGATTTTGTACTTTGCTTATCTGATTTCTTGCTCACTAGTTGCAAATATTTTGTTTTGTATTCATTTTCAGTGGGAAATTTTTTAAATGTTTTTAGCTTTATTATTGCTTAGTTAAGTTAGCTTGATTTTCTTCATTGTTTATCATGCTTTCATCCATTAATTGCTTCACAAAATTACGCCTGAGACAACAAAAATTTCTGAATCATCTTCACTTTTTTCTAAAATGTAAATGTAAAATGTTGATCCCCAATTTTTTCAGATTAAATCCAATAAAAAAATCTTCCAATCCTGTTTAAAATATTCGCTTAAATTGCGAACTAGCCTTGCTTCGGTCCATCATAAGGGATACACATCAGCAATTATCCAAAATTGAATTTGAGCTACATAAGCTTCATCTGGAACTCTCTAATTTGTATTCAAAATCCACTATATTAAACAAAAGTTCTGGTCCAGAACTGAGAATGTAGTTAACTGTCATAAAAACACCCTTGCATTTAAATTCCAAAACCTTCTTTCGCAATCTTTCAATTTGAGTAGTTCAAAAAATTTTCCCAATGTAAAAATTAAGCCAATAGTTAATATTTCTAGTGTTAGTTTATTAGAGGAATAAGAGAGAATTCTGAAATATAATTTTAACTTCTCATAACTTCATAACCTTTGATTCCAAATATTTTGTCTGCTATCAAAAAAGCTTTCAAATTTTGTAAAGTTTCAGATACACAGAAAGATGTGATTAGGCATCTTATCGCCCATAATGTGAAATTCAACAATAAGCGCTTAAAACAAAATCTAACAGGAGAAGTTCATTCTGACCCGAGATTAACATTTCAAATGCCGACAAAGGTGGCCAGATAGTCATCATGGACAAGAGCACTTACGTCAATTGTGTCATTAAACTCTTAAATGAAGGACCATATAATTTGATCCCTAAAGTCCCTTCACCTTCGAAACTCTCAAAAATATAAATTGCTATCAAATCTTTATAAATCTTTTCGACCAACTTAAAACAATCGCTTATCCCATGTGTTGCAAATTGTGCCAGATTATATGCTCTTCCCAAAATTCATGAAAGTGGTATTACTTTCCGCAAGATTTTCAACTCTATTAGACAATAATATTTACAGCTTAAAAAATTCAATAGTGTTTGTAAAAACGTTAAAAGCATTTCTCCTAGAAATTTACTCATGGTTTCTTTTGATGTAAAATCATTATTTACTAATGTTCCAATGGAAAGTGCATTAAGATGTCCAGAAACCAGACTTTATGAATTTAATTTTCCCTGTATCAAAATTGATGAGCTAATTCCCCTTACTCAATTCTGTTTGAAGCAAATGCATTTTGTTTTCCAAAATAAGTACTGCAAGCAATTTGAGCGATTAGCCATGTGAACCCTCTTAGTCCCATTCTGGCTAATATCTACATGCATTATTATGAATCAAAATTATTTGAAACTTTAAACGTCCCAGTATGGTTCTGCTACATAGACGATTCTTTTACCCTGTTTGATGGTAATAAAGATAAATTAAATAAAGTTTTTTCAATAATGAATTCCATTGATCCTGCTATTCAGTTCACTTTTGAACTTGAGACATCCAATTCTCTTCCGTTCCTCAACATTTTGGTTACACATAACACAACCAACTTCACTACTACTGTTTACCGTAAACATTCATCAGTTTGCCTTTCACCACATCTCATATCATGTCATCTGATTTAACAGAAGTTAGCTTCATTTTATTGCTTTGTTTTCCATGCACTTGAAGTTTGCTCCTCCAAATTGTCTCTTGATCAAGATCTAAATTATTTAAAAACAGTTGCTATTGATGAGGGCTTTTCCTCCAGCATTATTAACTAATCATGCAGTTAAAAAATTCTCATAACAACACACCAAAAGATACACTCTACACTCTTGTTTTAAGATATTACAAGAATTCTATTGTCATCCCCTTTTTTTCCATCAATTAGCTATAAAATTGCACATATTTTATAGAAATTTAACTTTTGGGTGCTTTATTCTCCTATCAGTTAAATTCCCAGTTCCACATTTAAGGGCCCCATTCCATATGAATTCCTGGAGTATTTACAGGTATTCTGTGCCAGTTGGTTTTATTTACATTGGTCAAACTAAGAGAGCCTTAAAATTTTGCATTAAAGAACTTGAGGCATATTTTAGGAAAAAGGAAACACCAAAGTCCTCTGTTGCCCAGCACTGTTGGTACAAAAATCACACTTTCCATTTCTCTGCAGCCAAAATTATTCAAAAAACATCGTCCATTGGATTTTCTAGAGACGTTTCACATTCAAAAAAATTTTTGTCTTTTAGTTAATGATTCTAATTCCAGTCCATCTTTATCTTCATGCTTTACAGAATTGTTTTCATTTTCTTCTTTCATTAATAGAGGGCACTAGTAACTTAACAGCCATCCATATCTTATCACCATATCTTATCTTGTTCATTTGCACTTTGACAGCTGAGGCAGATGGTTCTATAGTTAAACCATCGAAACTAGTCCTTCAAAATTTACAAATATAATGCTGATTCTTGTTTGACTTCTCCAATCATCATTTTTAGTAGTTTATTTGTATTCTAACCCTGTAAAATAAATGTGTTCTGCTGTTTAATATATTTGATTTATAAAATTCAATGAAATAATTGTTTTAAAATTTTCATTTAATTATTCTTGACTTCTTTTATTTATCAAGGAATTTTAAAATTTCTGCAAGTTTTGAAAAAAAAAAAATACTAGCAGTTAAAATCATCCATATTTAAGATATTAGGATCCACATTTGTCGTTCCATTTGTAAAAGAAGATATCTTCAGGCTATTTTTCTCTTTACCACCCCCTACCTCTTTTCTCTGTGTTCTAAACAGAGACTATGCAAGACAGGTATGACATCCAGCTTTGTCGTTCCATTTGTAAAAGAAGATATCTTGAGGCTATTTTTCTCTTTACCACCCCCTACCTCTTTTCTCTGTGTTCTAAACAAAGACTATGCAAGACAGGTATGACATCCAGCTCTAGGAGAATAAGGATATCTTAGGGTACCATATGGTTTTAATGACCTCTGAAAAATGTGAAAAGGTTTTCCGATTCCATTCAAATTCTTTGATTAAGCTGCCAGACAGAACTGTATTCAAAGTTGATGATATGTTTAAAATTTTCATTATTCGAAGAAAATAGTGAATCATATTAGCTTGTAATTTTACAGTTTATTATTTTAGCGAATGAAGGGTTTGGATTTTATCAGTTTGTTTGAGGATAAATGCTCTTCGTGTTTTTTCCTCCAAATAGGGATTTAGCATTCTTTAAGTTTTTTGCATGGCACAAGATATTTTCAATAAAATTGCCCAGAAATCTGAGGTCAATACCCAGAATCTGAGGTGAGACACACGAAGTAATTTGAAGTGCCCTAAAATATCCCTTAATAAATAAAGAAAAATATATTATTTTTTTCTCGAAATGATGTTTTATAAGTCAGTTCTGTTTGTTGTACATAAATGTTCTGCTTATCAATACATAATGTACAATATGAATGATGCTAAAATCTGAAAGTAATTATTTATAGCTTCTTTTAATTAAGACTTTTGGTTGCATTGACAGGTTTTTGATTAAACTATTTTGGAATTTAAAAAGAATATTTAAAATAATTTTGTAAATCTTCCTGTCAGAGGACTAATTCCTCTGACATCCTAAAATTATTTTATTTATTTGTATTTTCAAAATAATGAACTCTTCATTTGGATATTAAACATCACAAAAAGCATTATTATTTAATTTAAATCATTGTTTACATACACCTTTTTTCTTTTCTCAGGCATTTGGGCGAAAAGAACAGTAAAAATGCAATAGCATCATTTGTTCTGTCATCTAGTGCAGAATATGTTGACATGTCAAAATGTCTTAGTAAGAATAAAGTAAGGAATTTTTTTTTAGCTTTGAAAAAAAAAATGTCTATAAAGTATTTCTACTCTAAAAGTTTTAATTTACTTTTATAAGATATTAGGCTTTTGAGTTTTCTGATAGTCTCCTAAATTATTATTATTATTTAAAATTCTATTTAATCTTTATTGATGGGTTATGTTGGTAATTTAGCTCTTTATTCTATTTTAACACCACATATTTTCTTTGAGCCTGCATACAAATGGGTGGCAATTTATGCTATTGAAGTTTTTGTAGGAGCACGTGATTTTGGTGATGATACTGGCAACTTTTTGAAATTAAAATTAATTTTTTAATGCATTGGGCTTCACTAACATGAAAAGTAAATTTTTATATTCTTTGTGAATTTTGAAGTGGCTATTGTAAGCATATAATAGCTAGAGTTTACACAAGTATGGTATAAATGGTAGATAAAGTACAAAAGCAAGATTATAATATGTACCCATTAGCATTTACTTGTGTCTGATCAATATGGTTAATTTTAGAGAAAGAAATTGCTGTAGAAAAAATGTGTGATTAATTGAGGTATTGCTCATTATTCAATGCATACATTGCTAAATATTTTACATAGATATGAAGAGCAACATTTGAAATTTTTCCTTCTAAACTTTGCATTCTAAATTTATATTAATAGCAAGCCATTCAACTGAATATATGGAGATACTATACATGTAAATTGTTTAATATATGTTGTAAATTGTTTAATATATTTTGTTGATTTATGATGAGCGGGATTTCAAGACTTGGATCGTGATACTAAAGTATTATCAGTTTTTTTTAACTAAATTTTGTTACTTTAGGCATATTAAGTTTTTTGATGAAAACAAAGAGGAGAGATTCTTATGTGCATAGAAAAATTAAAAGCTAGCATTTACTTATGGAAGTTGTCTCTGTTAAATACATGGTAACAAATAAATAATCATAGCATCTTGATTAGTAAATGTGCGTGATAATCATTTAAAAGGTATTGTATTTTTTTAACATAACCATCTGTAAATTGTAAATAATATTTCTTAGTCTTTTAAGTAAATTAGTGTATGTTTAAAAAGAAAAAACAAATAACAAAAGAATCTGAAAGGTTTCAGATTTTAAATTATGTCCAAAGGGGTGTTTTTTTTTAACATTTTGTGTGTTACCTTTATTTATTAAATATCATGTTTTTCGCACTTTAACCATAAAATTCAGTATCACAAAATAATTTTAAAATAAGTATATCTTTAGAATATCTGATATAGTCTCACGTGCTGGAGATAAATTTTTTTCTTTACAGTGTTGCTATTACTCGCTTTGAAATCATTAAGTTTGTTAATCAAAATTTCATTAAATTTTCACGAAATATGAAATGGATAATAAAACAAATTCCATATTCTATTTCAAATTTGGGCTTCGAAATGCCCATATTCGGGTGGAAATATAGGTTATTCAAAATTTGATGCCTCTTGGTACCATTGTTTTATCACAATGGGAGAAAAATGCATACATTTATGCAGATTCTTCATTATTTAATTTCTTTAAATATAATACAGGGCTCTAATATTTGGTGGCAACAATCTGAAAAGTGAACCGACATTTATAGTGAACCAATGCAAAATACCAAAATGAAATTAATAGTCGTTCTGGGAAAACTGTCGCTTTGGACTAATAAACATCTTGTAATATAATTGTTTCACATTAATTAAGAAAAAAAAAATCTGATACCATTCTTTGTTTTGTCGCCTTTGAATGAAAATCAAATTCATTTGAATGCAGTGAATTTTTTACTGTACATTGTTGAAATATCTAAAATGTTGTAAATGTTACATTAAGGCAAACACACAAATGAGCATGAAGGAAAATATTTTTATTTTTAAACTTACAGCTGCAGGTAGGAGAACAGAAGATAGAAATTATAAATTTTTTAAAGTGTATAAACTTCTTCCTGTGAATAAAATGAAGTAGACAATATCTTGAAATAATCATTTTTAAAGTATACATAATTACATATAGTTATCAAAATAATGGAAGCAACAAATATGAATTCTTTTGTTAATGGGGATTTATACAAGCTGTGAGTAACACTTAAAGGAATATAAAAACTTTTTTCCATGAAAGAGCCATTCAAGTTCCTGCTAAGATGTTTATGGTAGGTATTGAACCCTAATTTCGTTTAACACAGGATATAATATTTTGATAGTACTGGGAGAATGTGTAGGCCAGGAAGGGATGTTTTTCACACATTCCTCATAATGTGACTGGATAAGTGTACCTGATTTATTTTCAGATATAGATTCCTTGCCCACCTTTGTAAGGAACTAAAACTGGGGTTTCTCAACTATGCCTGATGTGAAAGCCCTTGAAATATGACAGCAGACTTGATTGTTCAGGTTGAAATATTATTTTTTTCTTTTCAAGCACTCAGATTGGCTTTCAAAAATATCCTAAACCTATATGCTATATTACAATTAAAGTTGTATTTTTCTTCAAGCACAGTTTGAAAGAGATGCTCTGCAATGTTTCTGCTTTTGCCATTTTTTCACTTTTTTTATGCATGTGTATAAACTGAAATGATACTGAAGTAGGACTTTTAAGTGAAGTGATGCTTGTAAACTTTCATGATTCACAGAAATCTGTATTAACCTTTTCAGAAATACTAATTTTTAGTGCTTTATGGAAGTTAATTTCAATGTGAATGCTATGCATGTGTCAAAAAGTATTTACCTCTTTGTAACAAAAATTAGGCTGATCATCTTATATAGAAGTTAATATCAACACAGAAAATATGTATTTTTCATACATATGTATTTATGGTTACAATGTGTTTGGGTAACTATTCTCACATGGGAAATCTGGGAGATCTTGAAGTTAAACTCTCAGTTCAGTATATGTAATTAATTTTTGAAACTCAATGTCTTGTAAAAGTTCCTGCAAACAAGTACTTATATTAAGGTAGAGTGTTTGGATCATTTCTCTCTTACGGTATCACACAGTGTTATTAACATTAGTATTTTTTAAATTTACATATTATGTCCATTAGTGTCAATTACTCATGTTCATTGAATTATTTTTAATAAGAAATTATTTGCAACTTTAATGATGATGCTTATTGTTTTCTTTAAGATATGATTAAATGTTTGCAGAATTGTGTAAGTTTTAGTTATTTTAAGTATATTTTATTTTCTTGATGCTGTAGCACATCTTGTTATCTGCAGTTACAGAAGAAGAATTTGTTCAACTTTTTGAACATACACTAAATGGGTAAATCATTTTTTTATTAATTTAAACTTGTGAATTAGTCAGCTCAAGTCATAAATGCATAGCTCAGTGGTTCTCAAACTCTTTTTGTTCCATGCTCCCGCTTTCACCATTTCTAGACTATCATTCTGCCTTCTTTTCCAAAATGAGAAAATTACATATGCATTTATTTAAATTTAGATTATTTTTGTTGTCTTTCATAAATTAAACAAAAATAGAAAATGTTGATAAATACTAAAATTTGAATAAAAGTAATTTTTATATTCATAAACTAAAACTAAATTCTGAACAGGTAAATAAAAGGCTGACAACATTCCCACCCTAAAGCTAAACATTTCACATGGTTATCTTACATTAATCAATCAAAAATACAATATAAAGCTTGGAATTATGTAAATGATATTGCAGCTTAGTTTGCTGATTAAATTATGTTAAAATACTTAAATTTTGACACTTCACAGTAACATTTAATCATTAAATATGTTTCTTTAGAAAATATTTGTGTATAAAATCTTCATCATAAATGCATTTTCATGAGCATTTATATGCATGTATTGAATCAGAAGTACAGTTCTTGAAATTTGTACATTTGATTGCATCCATTTAGTTTAATTTTTACTTTTTACATGGAGAATTTTTGAAAGATTCAGGGCAGAAAAATCTTAAGTTACAGATGTTAAAAAAAGAAATTAAAAATTAGGTACGCCATGAATGCATAAACCTACTTCCGGTTTATGCATTCATGGCGTACCTAATTACATAAGGGCTATATTTTTCTTTGCATTAAAAATGGGAATAAATTTTAAAAGAATATACAAAAATTTAGACACCTTTTTTTCGTATGGATTTTTCCCTGGAAGTGGCATGCATACAAAGATGTGTAATGGAATTGTTTCTGCCATTTGTGAGATTCATCTTTATTAGTGCATTTTTTCCAAACTTTAAAAGCCAAAATGCAGCTAAAACTCATTGCAGGCTTTTAATGTATATTGAAAAACTGCATGAGAATAGAGATTCATGTAAAAAATATTAGAAATGTCAAGAAAAATAAGCAGATATACATGGGGATAAATGTCCATCATGGTAACTGATGATTTTTCTCAAACTGTGTGAGAAGTTAGTCAGTGGCCAAGTGGCATACTTCTGTAAAAGAAACATATCACAGTGTTTTTTATATATTTATTTATTGTAACATATGATCCTGCTGACAATGAAATTTGATGAAGCTAAAATTGCAGCAATTGTTCTATGGGATTCTGAAGGAATTGATGCTTCTTTATTTGATAAACAAACAGTTTTCAACCCACTTTGTTTTTACCCTTTCTAAAACAGCTTTCATTGATTTCTGCTGTATTTGTAAGGCCCTCCAATTTTATCAGAAGCTTTGTTTTTAATGCTACGAGTGCAAATTTCCTGCATGTAAATGTTCCAATCTACTGTTGCTTTGTTAGCATTATTTGGATGACTGTATTTATAAAGATTACAGGAAAACTTAATTGAGTTCAACAACCATTTCAGACCATATTTAAAAACTAGAATTGATGGGTAAATATTCCAGATGGGTGCTTCAAGCATTAAGTAAGAAATACAAGTGTTTGCATGATCTAGACATCTATGCATATTTCTACGTGTTGAGAATAAAAATGAACCCTTTTAGAACTTGATGATAACTGGTGATGAAACACAGATTGCCCATAAAAACATCATTACGAAAAGAGCGCACAGTGAGCCTGGATAGCCTGCCTCCCCATCTCTAAACCAAGCCTGAGCTTGAATAAACTTGAATGATACTGTACATGTGATGGGACATCCAAGTGCCAATACATTCAAAACTGAAGAAAATGTTAGCCAAGCAGCACTTGCATTCTTCACCTCTAAGGACAAGCAATTTTTCAAAAATGGTATATCCAAATTATCGTCATGTTGGCAAGAGTTCATGAGTAACAACAGAAATTACATTGTACGAAAATTGTTATTAAAGGTATGAAAATGTATTATTTTCTTTCGGTTCCCAAATAGGCAGAATCTTCTGGTAGACCTTAACAATTTGCTTGGGAGGAGAAGTGCTCCAAGAAAACCATGTATTGTCATTTTTTTTTCATATAAGTGTTAAAAATTCATTTTCTTCATAATTCTCTTCCTATGAGAAAAGTTTTGAGTATTTCATATCTTAGCATATTTTCTTTTTTCAAACATATTTTAAAAATATTTGACTTATCAAGAAATGAAGAAAATGGTTCTCAACCTTTTATGCCCCATGCTTCCTTTTCACCATTGCTAGAAGATCATTCTCCTCAACTTCTTCTCCAAATTTGCAAAATACATTAATATATATATATATGTATATATAGATTTAGATTTAGATTGTTTTCTAACGTGCTTTATAAATTAAACAAAAAGTATAGAAAATTTTGGTAAATATCAAAATTTGAATAAAAGTCTGACTGCATTCCCTCTCTGAAACTATGAAATCCTCCACTTCTTGTTGAGGAACTCTGTGATATATTGTTCTTCTAATGAAGATGCATTTCACTTCAAATTTGAATATTTTAAAAGGCCATTAAATAAAACTACTAATTAATAAAAGGGACACTGGAGGGGCAATATGCAAAGTTTGCAAGGGAAGAAACAAATATACACCTCAGGAACTGGTTCAGTGATTTCAGAATAAAGTTTGTTGTTACAAACTCGCAGCATTTCTTGTTGCTCACATCATTTACTGTTGAGCTGAGGAACTGGCATCAGTTTAGTAGTGGGAGAAGCATCTCAGCCTTTACTAAAATGTAATTATTGACAGCAGCAGTATATGAATGATGTGTATTCTCTGCATTTAATCTGACAACCAAATAAGCATATAGTTGACCTTGGAAAAAAGTTGTAGATTTAAATGAAAATCTGTTTTTTTTTTTTTTTGGAGGGAAAAGTTAAAGATGGCAGTGTTATTCCACAATACTGGGTATTTGGCAGACTGTTTTGAGAAATTGGTAAATTATTTCTTGCTCAGATTCTGAACAAAGAGGCAATCACATTCAATGCACAAAACTGTTGCCCATGACCAAGAGAGTTTGATAATTTATTCAGACTGTTGGTGAGCATATAAAACAGAGGAAGTGAAAAATGCAGATTAGAGACATTTTTCTGTAAACCGCAAATTTTATTTTGTTGATCTAACAACAGCTAGTTATATACAAAATATTTAAAGACTGTGGTACTGTGCTAAGTGGCAGAGTAAAAATCTTTGAGGCATGGTTGGTTATCATCATGAATCTTAACCTTGTTAAGTTCATGTGGCAAAAGTCCTTTGGACGAGAAAATGCATCTGATGCTATATCAAAAACAGTCATGAAAATATGGCTGCTGCAAAATGTATATGAAATAAATGTAAACAAGAACTTAGCAATAATCCTGCCACAAACTTGAGATTTAAAAACAGGCTGTAATAATAAGGAAGTACCACAGAATATAAATTTGAATAAAAATAAGTCTTACGTACATAGTATTAACTGTAGTACATTCTACAGTCATGTTCTGTTGCTAATATTTTTTGAGTTCAAGTTTTCATCACTTGCTTGAAATCCATTACATTGCACTACTCATGTCTGTCTGAATAGTTTGTCAAAACAATAAGCTGAGCATTACAATATAAATACTGTTTTATAATTCATGTTTGTTTTAACATCATAATGCAGAATATTATGACGTATTAATTCTCACAGAAAATGTGTCTAATTATGCTCTAATAACTTCCAAAAAGCAAAAGAAAATCATAACCTTCCAAATGAAAGTGTTGTTGCTTGCTATGAACTGCAGACTTTTTCTAAGCTTTCAATGTTTCCAGGGCTCTATTAGTAAATAAAACATTCCATTCCATGCCAGTCAGTGGTGTGCTTTTTTTTTTTTTTTTTTTTTTTTTTTTTTTTTTTTTTTTTTTTTTTTTTTTTTTTTTTTTTTTTTTTTTTTTTTTTACCAGGTGGAACTAGGTATCAAGAAAAATTATAATCCTGTATAAGACAACCACCCATGAACAGTAGAAATGCTTATCTTAAAGGGATGAAATTCTTTCAGAGCTGGTTGTCTTAGGGAAGTGGTCTTAGGGAGTTGTTGTATTTTGAATACAGGACTAATGATTACAATAACACATAGTAAGCTCTGAGGAATTTATAAAAATGAGATGAAGAGAAGAAGTCAAACTGTACTGTAATAAATAAATAGTTTTTTAATTTGACTGATGTCGTAAAATAATTACTTGATTAAAAATATTTCTATCTTTATAACACAAGGCTAGCACAATATGTTACTTTTTAGTTTACTATTGTTAGTCATTTTGAAATTGTATAATACAGTACAAAGTCCAAGATCTGGACTCGTCGGGACTTCAGTGATTCCGGATTTAGGATTTTCTGGATATTAGATCATCAATTTAAATTTAGTAAGATGACATGCAGAAATTATACAATTAAAAATATGAAATCGTAATTTATGAATAAAAGAGCATTTATGATCTAAAGGGTATCCAAATTTACAAAAAAAAGCTTAATATTTATTTGTTTACTTTATTGAACATTTCTTTCAATGTAAGTTGTTTAAATTGCTTCATTTTTTGTGCTAATACTTTCTCTTTAATTCTATAAACAGACATAGTTTCTTACTCAGTTAAAAAGTTCCACTATTCAAGTCCTGTAATTGCTGTGTTGAGAATACCGGCTAACATGTCAATCGAAATTTTTTCATTTTCAATAACCTCTCTTTCACTTTCTTCACTATTGGTAGCAGTATTTTCTGGATCAAGAACCATACCGCCACTTTGCCGTCCATTAATTGATTATTGATTAATTGATTATTGGGGCATTGTCATCACAATGAAAAACTTTTGTTATATCATCTTCATTTATTACTGCTTCTCCACATTTCTTACATTAACTGAAAAATTTCACCTTTAGTTTACGATATCCAAAAACCTTCAAATTTGCGGCTATTATTTTCATCCCCCTCACCATGAAATA